TAAAAGTAAGTCCATATGAGTCTTTGCTCAGTCGGTGGTGGATGCAATGATGCTAATGGGCAGCAAGCAAATTAGGTCAGAGCTTTAAAAGCTAGAATGCAACAGATCCCCTGCATTTGAGCTTGGAACCTATCCATATAAAAACGATGCCTAGAAGGGAGGGATTCAGGAGATAAATAGATAGTAAAGCAGTTGGAGGATTGCTTTATAAGAATTAAGGATTACATTTGCTTTACATTTTGTAAGAGATCCATTAGCACAGCAAGGTTGTACCTTCACAGTGTGCAAGTACTGCCTGTAAGAGAGTGCTTTGCAATTTGAGAGCTCTCAAACCTGTAAACAGGTGGAATCCTCTGTTCTCAACAACCCGCTCTGCCCACAGAGGTAGTGGTATAAAGTTTATTAAAAGGAAAAGCAAATTTCATTCTGCATAATGAGTGTTTTTTAGCTGTGTAGGAGCTGGAATTTGGATGTTTGAGAGGCATGGCTGCAGAGTGGCTAAATAGAAAACTACTTGGAAGTTTTTCTGGATTGACTCCAAAAACCTTGCAGATCATTGGGATGAATATCCTGTAATGCCAAACTCATAGTTAATAAGAGATCTGATTTACTATTCAAAATGCATTTTACAGTAAGTAGAGTATTCCAGCATAGTGCATGAATGCCAGTTCAGCCTCAGGAAAACTGGTATTGTTACCTGCGGACTGCCAATATCCTCAATTTAATAACAAACTATTCTATTGGTTTTGTTCCATTAGCATGAAGATCTGGTTTGCTTTAGAGATATCAGACCTGGAGCCCCACACCATTATCTAGTGGTGCCGGTGGAACACGTAGGAAACTGCAAGACTCTGAAGAGAGAACATATACCTCTAGGTAAGGCCATTGTCCTTCCTAATGTGAATGAAAATAATTGTAGATCAGAATTATTTGCGGTATTATATCTTTCAGTGCTGCTTTTTTTTTTTTGTAGATGAAGGCATTTTATTCAAAGGAGTAAGAGGATTGCTGTATTATAGATTCATTAGTGCCAGCAAATTCCACAATAAAGCTGTAGTGTGGGCATCTCTTCCAGAATATAAGTAACCGTTATAAAGTAGTTACTCCATGGAGTAATTATTTTGCTATAACTATGCTTAGTTTCCCTTTATAGATGATCTCAGACACCTGTTAATACAGCTGTTTTCTTTTTGTTTTAACTTTCAAATGTAATTGTGCACAGTTCTGTTAACCAATTTGTCTTACTATTTCAGTTTTCTGGGTTCTTCTGTGGGAGAGGGGGATGCAATCTGAGCTGCTTTCAGATCAGAGTTACTGTTGTATTTCAAGTGCCTTAAGCTTTCACTCCATTGTTGGTACCACATTATTGAGATAACTAGCAAATTGCCCATTATGAATGACTGGGGGAGGGGGACCCAACCAGTGCCCCGTGGTGCCGCTGCTCCCTCTCCCCCTCTGTCCATAACACTCCAGGCCCTCGCAGCCAATTGGCGCATGTGCAGTTGGCCCGGAGCATTACAGGCAGACTAAGGCTTTTATTATATTAGAGTTTTTAAATAGTGTAAATATTTATACAAAACACTTTCAGACCAGCCCCAAAATTGGGGCTGTTTCAGAAAAGTTCCCATGTTCTAGATGCCTGCAATTAGTAAATGCACAGCATTGCATGAACTCTAAATGTTTGTTTTTTATTTTTATTTTTTCATTTTAAAAGTAAAGAAAATGATGGAAGTTGGAAAAACCATCCTACAGCGAAATAACTTTACTGACTTGAATGATATAAGGTATATAGTTTACTTTTTGGATATATATATATTGGATATGTATTGGACAGATAGTGGCAGCGATGGCAACATGGTGGTTATCTGGCTGAAATAGAGAATTTATTAGGATTTGAAACTACAGCACAGGCTCTCTTTCAGAGTGCATGGTCATTGGACTATACACTGAAAAATGTTTTGTGCAGAATTGGTTTGAGAGCCTTATTCTGTACAAGATTTATTTCTTGTTTGGTTTCCCTGAAAATGTCTCATGTAACGAAATGGTGTCCTTTCTAAAATTTGTTTGCCTTCATGACAAGAAATGAAGGAGAGCAAGAAAATGTTAAACAAACCATTCAAAAGATTGCCTTAACCAGGTACCAACAGCATGCTTTGGAGTCCTTGAATCCAGAGCAGAGTTGAATTTTGTAGTCTCATCCTATACAGATGATATGAATGACTATTAAACAAAAGTATTTTAAACTTGTAATGAACATAATCTGTTTTCCAGCAGTTTGGCTGTGGTTGCACTAGTCATCTTGAATGTGTTCAAAATCATTTTTGTCTGAAATAATTTTAACCCCCTCTTACATGCTTTGGGAAATATTATTCAGGTTCCTGTTTGGATACGGGGACTATACCTTCCATAGTTAAAGCAGATTGAGGGCACCTTCATGAGAGGGACAGTGGACTGCTGATTTTCCAGCTGTAGAGCAGATCCCATGCATTTATGGTAATATATTTATATGATATTACCATATATTTATGGTAATATCATATTGGAAAAAAAAATTTCTTAGTAACAAAATGTATATAAATACAAAAATAAAGGGAGTCAGGAAATAAGTTCCATAGGCTGATGCTGTCTATCTGCCCTTAGCTAAAAGTGAAATGATAGAAGTCACATGAGTTGCTACTTACGTTATAAGGGTTATTTTACAGATTGCATTAACGCAAGTAATGAAAACTGCAAGTATTTGATCTTGTAAATGTATCTGTTGCTATGTCTGAAGTCACTGCTGTATTTCAGAATAACCAACAATTTTAATATGGTTTATTACTGTATCTAATTTAGTATGTCCAAATTAATATAACTGGTATTATTTTTTTTTTCCCTGCTTTCTTCTTAAGAATGGGTTTCCATTGGCCTCCATTCTGCTCAATCTCCCACTTACACCTTCATGTCCTGGCCCCAGCCAGTCAGCTGGGCTTCTTGTCCAGGTTAATTTACAGAATCAATTCCTACTGGTTTATCACAGTAAGTGAAAGTACACTTTTCATATTTTAAGATACTTATAATATTCTGCAAGAAAGTGTTATTGTCCATGTTCAAACCAACTGTTGGTGCCATAATTTTGATAACTTTTAACTATGCAAATTTTTAGGATGAAATAATTTAGAGCAAATGTAGAAGTGATAAGGCCTTTACCTTTAAGAAAAACATAGTGGTAAAATATGAATGGAAAATACTCTTTTTTTTTTATTTGAATTTGGTGGGTGGCCCACATTAAAATTATAACTACACATATATATGGTGAGGCTAGGGTGGAACAGATTTGTTAATGGGATATGAAGGGCACCTGGTAAACTATTATTGCTTTATGTGCTGCTGAACAGCAGCTATTGTGTAAAGTTTTGTGGGCTTGGTTCAGTCCACAATAAAGGGTCTCCTTCATTTAAAAAAAATTCTCTTGTTGCTAGTCTCCAGTGGGAAATGCCAAAAGTTGAACTGGCCATGTGACTGAATAACTTAGCACAGGGGTGGGCAAAATGCCTGATCTGGCTGGCAGCCAGACAACTCCATTTCCCAGCTGCCCCTGCCCTCATGGAGTCTGGCCCAAGCCATGGAGACCCCAGCCGCACCTGCTTAGGAAAGCTCAGGTGGGGGTTGCCATGGATGCTTAGCCAGAGCCACACTGGCAGCACACATGGCAAAGCAGTACAGGGGGCTGCTCTAGAGTTGCTGGGTACTTGGGATGGGGGCAGCTTGCTCCAGAACCAGAGCAGAGTCACGATCTGTAGCCTGCATGCTCCGGGCTCCTTGCAGGGGTGCCCTGGCTCCTCTCAGCAGTGACAGCCTAGTCTGGAGCTGGGGCAGAGCTGTGATCCCCTGTCTGTGCACCCCTGCCCAGGGTGGCTGGGAAATAGTCTACAGCTGACCAGATCCAGCCCACAGGCCAGAGTTTGCCCATCTCTGGTGTAGCATGTCTTTCAAGCTTTCTGGCAAGCTCACAGGACAGGGTGGGGAAGCTTTTGCTATTGCAGTTATGCTGAGTAAGAAGAGAACCTACTGCATTAAAATGTATCCATGTTAACTGGGACAGCCCTTTTTACATAAGTGCTAACCCCTCCCCCCCCAAAAAAAAAAAAACCCTTGCTGAGATGCACTTATGTTAACACAGGATTTCTAAAGATAAATGGGAAGTCAGAGGAGTTTTAGCATAAAACCCCCCCCAGACGTATTATCTGGTTTATAGCATCTTAAAGTGGTACAAATGAGAGAATGAAAAATGTTCTGGAATATTTCCTTATTGTAATTGTTTGGGGCCACTTGATTTAGAACCATGTTAATGTAAAACAACACAAAATTAAACTATCGAGTTGTATTTGCAAATGAACTGTAAGGGCCATTTCACCTTGTTTCTGCACAGTGGTCTGGGACAGGGCTGCCCGGCTTTTGAATGACCAGGGGCTACAGACCTCTTGGTCACATGCCCCTCCAGACTGTATGCCACTTGAGCTTCATGCCTTGCCATGTGATCCTCCCACTGCACCACACCATGTGCCTCCCCCAACAAAAAGTTCCCCAGGTCATAGGCAGTGGAAGCTGGAGGAAGGGGAGGGGTGTGGGGGGAGAGCCTGGACCATGAATCCAGAGGCATGAGGTTAACTCTTTAGGGACCATGTACACCTGCAAGCCAGCAGTTGGACAGCCCTGGTCTGGGATGTAAGACCTGTAGCATGCTATTGCTTCTAGTGAGGCAACTGACTTGAAGGCATTGCCTAGGCACCTCAACTGTTTATCCTTTAGGCCCTAGAAGCTGGTGATTTTTAATAAAACCTTTGGATACAGGTTTAAACAAAAAATATATCTTAATAGGGCTGACAAGTAAAGTTGACAATAACCCCTGAAAAGCAGAGATTTGCACTGATGCTGTGTACCGACAAGGGGCTCCTACGCACACATCTCAGTGGACTCCCTCAGTCTGTCTGGAGATGGATGGCAGCAGTGTGCATCTCTGATTGGCTGGCCCAGCGTGCTCAGGGACAGTCTGTCTCTCCCTGCAACACAGTGTGGGGATTGTGAAGGGGGCACATTCTGCTCCCTTCTCAGCTAGAGTCCAGTGAATGATATGGTCTCTTGAGGGTTGGGGGGGGTGAAGCAAAGCACCTTGGGATGCTGGAGGACTGTGCTGTGGCTTCTCTCAATAGAGACTGAAAGTGAATGGTCGCTCGCCCAGGAGAAACTCCCGGGAATGATTTTTAACCTTGGTTGTGACACTCCAGCAGAAACTGATTGTTTTCATGGCCATAGTCGAATAACTAGGCAAGCAAAAATAACAGCTCTACCCTGTCCCTTCAGTGCCAGCCAACTTGGAAATCATTTGATTTTTAATGCCAGTCTCCTCGCACATCCCCAAACCATCCTGTCAAATTGACCCATTCTTAACAAGCCACTTTCTAACCACTACAGAACCTTCTCTCTTCTGACCTAATAATCCTCCAGTAATGGAAAAGTTATGAATTACCTGCTTAAGCAGACATATGATAGGATGTCTGTTGCATGTCTTGTCTGAAGTAGCAAGCACTTGCAGTGCTGTTTAGTGTAGTGTGCTCTAATGTAACAATTATTGTTTTGACTTGTATTTGCCAGAATAATTTGCATAGTAAATAAACTGGAGAGTCAACCATGTAGATAAAAGATGTTTTCTTCTCTTTACAGGCTGAACAGCTGATTGAACGATTGCAGACTGAAAATGCTGCGAGTTAAATTTACCTTTCCTAGACCTAGATCATACCAGGATTTTAAAAAAAAAGGGAAAGAAAAGTTTGTATTTCTTATTAAGAACAAACATGCCTTTCACTTTTAATTGTCAACCTAATTCTTACTGTGAATGAACTCAGGTGGACTGACAATGAGATGTAAAATGTTTGAACAGAAACCTGAGTAATCTATGAAATGCTAGTCCTAGGGAAACATAGTATAATATTCCAATTGTAATGATAAAATTGGGTAGACTTTTAGCAACTACTACAAATAGCATGTAGGTTATGCCATGGTGAATGCTAGTTTTGTATTTTAAAAAAGCACTTTGGGATTTCAGTAGGGTTCACAACTTACAGATTTCCTTTTGTATGTACTTGGTTTATGTGGTGATGTCCATTTATTAGTGAGGACAGTGCTAAGGAGACACTATCTTCTCTGGTGCTAATCCATGTTAATATGCAACTGTTTCACTTGCATGGCAATGGAACGTAGCAAGCGCTAAATATAATGTGCCCAGAATGTGATAACGCAGTAGAATGTAAATTACCTATATGTATGAGTGTTAGTATGTTAGTTAGACTAAGAGGGTTTGTCTGTTGTGTGTATGAATACGCCAGATTATTTGCTGTGTTTACAATAATTTTAAGCGGTTGCGCTAGAATGAACTAATACACTGGACTTTTAGATTGGGTTAGTCTTTGCTTAATAAATTGTTTCTTGGAGTTGGACTTCTAAATTTTTCTGAGCCACAAAGGAAATGAATTATTAGTTTCATCATTTGGTGAAATTCACCCCACACAACTGCCACAAAATTGCTTAGAATTTGGCATAGCTGGGGCTCTGCCAGCCAAAATTAGAACATGGCACTTGTGTGGTCAGAGTTGCATGAGAGCTTTCACAGTGCTTGCCAGCATTGTGTCCAACTGGTCCGTGATGGTAGCTCTTCATTTACTTTATTTTTTTTTTAATAAGTACTACATTAACAAGCTCCTCTGAGAACAGAGTCTTGGCAATATTATCTCCTGATCCAGCACCTTGTTGCCTTAGTGCTGCAATGTGTTGTAATATTTATTTATATATGCCTTAATGGGTCAGGACAAAGAACAGAACACTCTAAGAGCTTATTCACGTGGAGTCTGGGGCTTAAAATTTAAATTGTGTTAGGAAAGCGTTAATTAAAACCGTCATACATTGACTAATTCTTTGCAATAGATGAGGAGGTGTAAGTTGGCTTTCTTACTTGATAAAATATTAGGACACCAACATTAACACCTTTTAAAGAAGTATTAATACCATGTATGAATATTGTGGTACTGAATAAATGTGTGTAACCATATGTAACTGTGATGCAAGTCAGTTTAAAATATGATGAAGAAGCTCAATAAAAAGATAAATATCAAGATAGGCAATTTCTTTTTTTATTTGTAGCACCCTGCCTCTAATAACAAAGATGTTCCTGTAGGACTGAGAAGTTTTGGGTGCTGATCCTTCCTCCCAGAATTGTTTGCATCTCTCTGTGTTAAGGAGTGATTGGACAAATGAACACTCTTATCAAATGGCTACAGAAACATGTTTCCTCTTCCTTATTCATTGTCTGACCCTAGGGAACTTGCATTCTTTGCTGTGCCATGGCACAGCTTCAAAAAGCCTTTTCCCACCTCCCTACCATCAAGGTCAGAGGAAAGTAGGTTTCTTAGGCTGGGGAAGGCATATAGCCAAGATGTCCCATTTCCTGGGTAAAGTACTAGGCTTTGCATAAATGGTGGGCACTGCCACCACCCTAATGATCCTGTTTTTAAAAACTATGGATGGATCAGTTGGCCAGTGAAATGGAGTGCTTAAGGGTCTAAGTTGGAGGTGGGGATGGATGTTAAGATCTGAATTCAGTCTGGTTTAGGTGTCAAAATCAGGACTGTAATCAAGCACCTAAGTCTAGAAAAGAGGTGGGAATCAGACATTCTTGTCAGCATTTCTTGTGTACTAGCTCAGGTATACCCCTGCTTAACACTGTAAAGGCCATTTTTAGGCACCCAAGTCTCTCCATGTGATTGTATAGGCAGCATAGATACCTTACACTCTGGGATCTAGGCATATTTGTGGATCTGACCTAAGGTTTTTAATTGTAAATTGAGTCATATTAATTACTGAGACAGACAGAACCTTATGAGGCCTTTATCAGTTTCTTTCAAGTGGAGAATAACTTCCAATAATGGCTTCAAGAACTGTCAGCCCAGTCAGCTGACACAGTCAATCAGTTTGCTTTTCTAAAAAGCTCTTCTTCAGCAGTATTGTTTTAAGGCATGCCAGTATCTAGTCCTTCATTACCACATCTTGAAGATGCCATCTCCTTCACACACCTGCCTCTATTTAGCAATATGGTCATAGTTTTTATAGACATTAGGACTGGAAGGGACCTCGGAAGATCACCGCATCCAGCCCCCTGCCCCAGGGCCAGGAAGTCGGCAGGGATCATAGGATCCCAGCAAGATAAACATCCAGATGTCTTTTGAAGGTGTTCAGAATAGGTGCTTGAACCACCTCTGGTGGCAGTCTATTCCAAACCTTGGGGCTCAGACAGTAAAGAAGTTCTTCCTTATGTCTAGCCTGAAACGGTCGTGGAGGAGTTTGTGACCTTTCGACCTTGTCATCCCTTGGGGCGCTCTGGTAAACAGATGTTCCCCCAGATCCTGGTAAGCACCAAAGCATCTTGGAAAGTAAACCCAGCCAAACTCATCATCCTTTGTTTCCTGGTTTCTATGTAGGAGCTTGGAGTACGGGAAGGGACCTATGGAGGAGTTTCTTAAGCTACTGCCTACAGATCATGTTCCTTGGCTCGGATTGGGGTCTGGGATTAAAACCCCTTCAAACCAAGATGTGTGTGCGAGTAAGCTTTTCTTCCCCTTGGCCTTGAGGGAGGGGGGAGAAGGCATATAATATTTTCTTCCCCCATTGCAGAACAATACGTTAGCCTAATGCTTTCATGCTGCTGAGCAGCAACAAAGCAATTAAATGGACTGAAGAGTGGTATCAAATACACACACTGCAAACAAGGAAGGGTTTCAAGTGCTACAAGGGTAGAAAAATGTCACAGAGAATTAGGGCTGGAAGGGACCTCCCGAGGTCATCTAGTCCAACCCCCTTCCACAGACAGGATTGGTTCCAATCCAAACCATCCCATACGACCGTAATCTAAGATCTACATAAAACTCTCAACCCTGATGCAACGTAGACCAAACACCCTCACCTGCCATAGGTAAAGCAGGAGAACCATGGCATCCAATGTCCTGCTTCTATAACATCTTGTCAATATATGCCCAAGAGGTCCCAGGTAGAGGGCTATGCCCCTCCTCCTGCTACAGAGGAAGACAAAAACACCCATAGTTCATACTGTCTCGGACGGCCAGAGCCAATTCGAGTTGCGTTAGAAATTGGTCGTACGTTAGGGCGGGCTGGTGAATGGAGAGGCAGACACAACTTATCGGTTGCAAAAAACTTTACTCGCGCCGCTTGCAATCACGATGCAGGTGGTCCGGTCGTCTGAACAACCACGCGAGTTGTTCCAGCTGGCGGGGCCCAAGCCAGTTAATCCCTCCGCAATTCAAAGCCGGCGGGGAAAGGGGTACATCTGGGGTTGCGCTCGGTGACGGGAAGAAAGATCGATAGGTGATCAGTCTATCGATCGGCAGCCGCAAGTCAGATAACTTCAG